TGTTATTCTTCATGCCGCTAAGTGGATTATCCCGTGGAGGCTGGCAGGCGACAGGCGTGTGGGGGGGGCAGAGCAGCCGTGACTGCCCCTTTCCCCGGTTAACCACGGCTGCTGTGAGGCCATAATGAGGTGTTTTCTCTGAGGGAGGGGGGCCCATTTCTGTCAGCCAGACAGTGCAGCAGGATGGCCTGGCTGTGCTGTGAGCCTGCTTACTGCTGCCTCACTCGTGTTTTCCTCAGTCTCATTTGCGAGCCGACGGCCTGCTGCCTGGGCATGTTTTTCGTGTCAGTGTGCTGGGCCCCAGGGACGAGGAACTCCCTTGGGAATAAACAAATAACATGATGGCATGTTCGTAGGCTCGCAGTCAGTGTTTCAGCAGGTATCTAGGCCTTTTATGTGGGTGAAAGGGTAATGTCTTTGTTTTTTTTTTCTCCTTTAAAAAAAAAAAAAAAAAAAAATCTGCAAAGCAAATAAAATGTCATGATGAGCCCAGGCTGTTCATGGGGCTAGACAGCCAGCCTGCCAGTGCCAGGGATGGAGCTTCTACCTGAGAAGTCTCACGTCCTCCTCCCCTGTATCTCTGCCTGTCATTCTCAGCCCAAGTGCAGGGGGTTGTTTCACAAAGCAGGATTTCTCAGGTAGCTGGGTTAACGTACGCTATAAGTCATGACTGTCCAATAGGAATGCTCCTTACCTAATTTCTTATTTGGCAATCTTGACTTCTATCTTAAGTTAAACCAGCTAACTGAGAAATCCTGCTTCGTGGACCCCCCTGGCTGTCAGCCTTAAGGAATCTATAAGCTCCCCATCCATCCATCCATCCAAACAATTTTCCTTACCCACTTGTCCTATTAAGGGTCTAGGGGGGCCCAGAGCCTATCCCCGAGGCAGGGAACAACCCAGTATGGGACACCAGCCCATAGCAGGACACACATACACATACACACACCATACACTCTCACACATGCTCCTGATTTCACTAACTATTCTACTAGCTGAATTATCTTAACCCCTGTTTTCTCTCAGTTGACCTGGATAGTATCTCAGGACCATGTTTTGAGAAGCAGAGGTTTTCAAAGGGGGAATGTATTCCTGTGCCAGAAGAGAGAGGCGTGTCTCTGTGAGCCTGGCACTCGTACTCGATCAGGGAGCGGAGGAGGAGTTTGGATGAGCTGGGTAGCACTCTGGTTGGATGTGTTGGACCAGCTGCGATGTGCGTGTGGGCGGTAGAGGGTCTGTCTCCTCTCTGTAGGCGAGGCTGGGCTCTGCTCAGACAACTGCCATCCGGCGAGCTCCTCGACCAGTCTGACTTTGTGCCATTTAGTTTCAAGATTATAGAAAGCATTCTATAAAAAAGCTTATTCACCTGCTCTGCCAGTTCGCTACTATGCTAAAATGCACTTAATTCTGTGTGCAGGCCCTGGGTAAGAGTGTCGAAGGCACTGGCCAGTGCTCATCTTCTCTGCTCATGGACAGGGAGCCCATTGTAGTGGCACATGCAAAACTGCATGCAAAACCGCATGCAAAACCGCATGCAAATACCAGTCGACAGAAGAACCTCGAAATTTATTTCGCGTGTTTTGGATTTCATGGTCTGCCTGGCCCAGTCCTGCTCTTGATTGTTCCTCTTTGTCCTGTGATATATATTTACATTTAATGCGGAAAATATACAGCTATTAGCATAAGTAAGCAGCCAGTTAGATATTAGTGTTAAAACCTTGCTTGCTTCAGGTGCACTTAACTGAGAGGGTTTTATATCCACTACAATCTGAGTAAACTTTGTCTTTCTCTTGTAAGGAAGGTGCAAACTTGCTTCATCTAAGAACCATGTAATTCGATGACAAACCTAGTAGTGTTGCGGTTCTGGGCATGTGCTGTACCCAGGCGTATCTGTCTGGTGCTTAACCGTAAAACACTTAATATCTAGCTGCTTGAACTCTGGAGCAAAGCAGCACATTATGAATTAATTGACTCTTCTCACATTGCCCAAGATCTCACTTCCCCCTCTTGCACTTACAGTTCTGTCTGGTGTCTTACCCATTACATTTTTAAATTTTATTTATTTATCAGATGCTTTTGTCCAAAGCGACGTACAAGTGAGTATGTGAGAGCAGGATCATACAGGATCAGCTCAAGGACCCAACGGTGACACCCATGGGACTGGAACCAGTGATCGTCCAATCTCATGCAAGGACTGACCTTCCACTACCTCTGACCCGTTTGCTGTTTTTTGGGGACGTTTACCTGTCCCTGGGCACATCGTCCTCAAGTGGGTCGAGCGAAGAGTTGGTTCCACGTCAGGCTGCCAGTTTAGTGCCAGTTGAGACCTAATCCCAAGTGCAGCAGCTGTCTCATCTGAATGCTTCTCCCAGCTCTCTCTAAATAAACCGGCCATGAGTTTGTGTCCTTATGCCATTTCGTGACGACACAATGAATACAGGAGTGTGCATCTTCTCATGACTGCAAAGAACTTTCATTCAAATAGAACCTTTGCTGTCGATTCTACATGTATCTAATCAGGATAAAATCACACCATTTAACATTGCATTTCTTTCCCTCCAGAGGCAAGTTTCACTAAGTATTTCCATTCTTTTCTTTAACTGGTCAGGTTTGACGATCCCCCCGCCCCCCGGACTGTGTTCCCAAACCCGTTCCGTTTAGTCACCAAGAAAATCTTGTCATTCGAGGATGCGTATCCATTCGACCATTCATCTGTCCACCCATCCATCTGTCCCTCTGTCCACGTCTCTGTCTGATATAATATGATTAGTGACTTGCGCCATCGTGCTGGTGAGTACACTCACTGCATTCCTTCCAAGCGTCCTGTCCTCTGTCTGGGCTGTCCAGTGGCATTACAGTGTCATGCAGTCCATCTGTCTTGTTTCTGGTTGTTCCTCGTCCCTCCTCCCTACCCGAATACACCAAGATAATGGAGCTGTTAAGACATGAAGGAGGTAAAAAAAAAACGTGAATGTTAAGAATCTGGCAGCAGAACCTGTCCCATCTGGCCTCAGCAAATATTTAGCTTTTTGATTTATTTTCAGCCCATTCCTGAATTTATTTAAATATGAAACATTTTCCTTAATCTGAACAGTGGTCTCCTGCGTTACGCAGAGCAGCGTGCCAGCAATGGCGCATAATGGACCAGTCCGACTGCCCAGCGCCGTCGTCTCCCAGCATGCCACGTTCCGTCAGGCCATGATGTAGCGGATCTCGCGTCTTGAACCCGTGCCGCCGTTCCAGCTCATTAAGCGGCTCGTGGCGGCGCGTGGGCAGACGTGCGAGGACAGCGCGTCGCTGCGGCTCCGTCTGCCCGCGTCACGCTCCTTTGTTGCGAAGCCCCTGAAGTACCGTCTTTCGCACACGCATCTGTCTTGCTTTGTTGTCCTTGTTATTGATATGTGGCTTGACTGGCATGTTTATCTGGAGTAATTTAAGATCCTGCCGGATGGATGGATGGATAGATGGAAGTTTTTCTGAATGTACAGAACGTGTTCCTCCTCCCCCCAGTGCTCTCCTCCTCACCTGGTACCTTAGCCATCTTCAGCCGCCGACGTAGATGGTGTCCAGTTTACGTCAGAAGCTCATTTCAACATGCCTTTGGCATGCATTTTTCTTTCTAAGTATTACATTAATCTGTTTTCCATAACTGTTGATCCAAGACAGGGCTCGGCTGAACCTGTAAGCCCAGGGTCACAGGCAGTGGGTTCCCTCGATGGCGCGCCTGTCTGCTCTAGGGCCCTCTCACACATACTCTGTCAGTGGTTTAGGGTCAACTTTGTTTTTAACTGCGGGTGGAAGATACAGAGTACTGAGGAAACGCGTGCAAAGATGAGGAGAACATGCACATCCAGATGAGGATGGGATTCGATCCCACAGCCCTGCAGGTGTGAGATCCCAGTGCTAAAGCCATGACCCATTGCATTGACCAGATATTGCCAAACCCTTGGGCTAAATTACTTGGTGTGCATCACCTCCTTGCTGGGGCTTGGCTGTGCAATCATAGCCGTTCAGAGACGCACGCACACTGCACAGCGCCCCACGGCTAATGGTGCCTCGTGTTATTATTTTTAAGTTGTCCTTGACTTCAAGCTGCTTTTTGTACAGAAAGTCTGGTGTGTGAACTAATTTAGCATTAATGGAAAATTAGACTCAGTTGTTGCTTGTAGATCTTTTCGTGTGAAAAGCAGCTCGCTAGTCTCTGCTAGCCCCATGCGGCCTTGACTTGGGCATAACTGCTATAGCAACAACGGGGATTTGATATGTTTAATTATTTTGGAATGTGTTTTGGGGGATGCTCAAAGCATATTTTGATTTAAATATTCTAATTAAACACCTGTATGAGCAGATATTCTTGAAAGGAAGTAGCTGTGTGCCATGATGGGTTTTTTGGCTGTAGTTTCACATGCCTCTTCTTGGCTTTCTGTTGTTGGATCACAGTTTTTTTTTTATTAATAATTCTGCTCCTGCTGTGATCGATGGGGCTCTGGATCAGCACTGGTCCTCGGGCACCCATGGGAGCTTTCCGCCGGCGCGAGACGTCTGGGATCTGCGGCTCTGTGGCCGTGCAGTCGGCGTCAGAGCGCCGGGAGCAGGGGGGGGGGCACCATTCACACGGCTTAAAGAGGAT